CTACAAAAAAAAATTATAATTGCTTAGACATAAATTGTACATATGTTTAAATGTAACTTTGACTTGCAAGTTGCCAGAATGTTCAACTCTGGAAAATATTATTTTATTTTCTTAAAACAATTAAAGAAAGAAGCAGTAAAATAATCATATATTGTAAAGTTGTTAATAATAAAAAATGGATAAAATAAAATAAGAAATCAATTTACTTTTTCTTAAAATTGTCTACCCATACATCTGAAACTTGAAAGTTTTTAAAGCTTAAATCTTTTACATAATATAAAACTTTTTCTTTTACCATCAAACCACTTATTAGCTCTCATTCATTTGAACCATTTAGGTACAGCTTTGTTTACTTGGTAATACTTATCAACTTTCAACCTTTTATCCAAATTTCCTTGACAAAAAGCATCAAAGATTTTATCTTTTTATTTTTTCAGGTTGAAAGAGTGTTTGGTGGAATATAAAAAATTTTCGAAAGTAGCTGGATCTTTCTTGATCTTGAACACTGCCTTGAAACTTGATTTATTCTCTTGTCAACTAAATTTTGAACCATTTTTTCATGAGGTGGTGAAATGGTAAAATGACTTTTTCATTTTCTACCAACCTCTTGAAAAATCTCAAATGAAAGTCATGCTTTTTTATATATCTAAATTAATAATTAGATTTTACATATATATATATATATATATATATATATATATATATATATATATATATATATATATATATACATATATATATATATATATATATATATATATATATATATATATATATATATATATATATATATATATATATATATATATATATATATATATATACATCAGGAGGTAATCCACTGTTATTTAGTGTGGTAGCCCTCTCATATATTTAAAAAAAAATAATAAAAAAAGCATGGAATTTGACTGTAAATGTTTAGAAGAACCAAATTGGCCAACAATTCCAAGTGCATCTGCTGAAGTTACCAAAAACATGCATAAATGGTGTGGCAAAATATCATATATTGTTTCAGAACTTTTAAAACGACTTAAAATTCTTGAAGATGAAAAAATAAATATCTTATCAGCAACAACAAATAAACCAACAACAATATTCACATATGCACAAGCAACATCAATTCAGAAAAATCAATTAAAACCAAAAGAAACTGAAGTGGCAATGATGGCAAAAATTACAAATGACTTTAATAACAAAAAAAGAATTGAAAACAACATCGTTATAAGTAGAGTTGCTGATCATACTACTTTAGATAAACAAATTAATGAAGAAAATGATAAACAAACCATTGAAAAAATGCTAAAAGCAATTGAACCAGATTTTTCAATAATAAATGCAAAATGAATAATTCGACTAACTAATAAAGCTAAAAGACCAAAAGGACCACCTGACCTCATCTTAGTTGAATTGAAGAACAAAGAAACTCAAAATTTTATAATTAAAAATTCCAAAAAGTTAAAGGACAGTATTAACTTCAAAAATATTTTTATTAATAAAGACAAAACAGCAAACAAGAGATTGTTCGAAAAAGAACTCAGAAAAGTTAGAAATGTTAGAAATGCAGCATTTGCTCAAGAGATTGAGGGAACAAATGGGAGGCACCGATACAATGTGCACAATGAAAAAAAATATTATTGGGGTATACGATCAGGTGAACTCAAATGAATTGAAATTGAATCGGCATAATTTACATATAAAAATTAAAAGAACCTCAGAATAAAAAAATCAAACGTCGTAAACTGGAGCGTTTTTTATAGAAAAACTGGTAGTTTATCAGATAAAAAATTATATCGAACTGCATGCCGTGAGGCTGCAGCAGCAATTCACAAATCTAGATGTAGTCATTATAAGGCGAAACTAAATTTAGCATACGGTGATCAGAAAGAAACATGGAACATTGCCAAGAAATTACTACATTCAAATAGTTCTAAATCTAATAACACAATACCAGAAGCAAAATGCGATATAATAAGTCAATATTTCATACGCAAACTCAAAATTATAAAGAACACTATCCAGGAAAGGCTTGCAAAAACCCCAATATCTAAATTTATCTCAGAGTTATCTCTCCCTGCAGATATATTAACAACATTTGGTACAGTCACACTTACAGATGTGTCAAAAATAATCAAAACTCTCAAACCTAAGACATCGCCACTTGATATTATTCCAACAAACATCCTTAAATCTTGTTCAGAAATATTCAGTCCAATTATAGCTCACCTTGCTGACCTTTCATTCAAATCTGGAATTTTCCCAGCCTCATATAAAGTTGCTCAAATAACACCAATTCCCAAAAAAATCAGGACTAGCAGAATTTGACCTAACAAATCTACGCCCCATATCAAATCTCAATACAATTTCGAAAATTATTGAAAAGCTTGCTTTATCTTGTCTTCATCCACACGTAACATCACCTGTCAACTTCAATCCTCTACAATCTGGTTTTAGATCTTATCACTCAACCGAAACAGCACTCTTAAAGATATGCAATGACATCCTGCTAAATATTGATGATGGTTTGACCACTATTCTCCTATCTCTAGAAATATCTTCAGCATTTGATACAATCGATCACAGCCTGCTGATTACCCGTATTAAGAATGAATTTGGTGTCACAGATATTGCATTAAAATGGCTAACATCATACTTGCACTCTTGAAAATCTTTCGTTTCTATTGGATCATCAAATTCTAGACTAATAGCAAGTTCAATAGGTGTACCACAGGGTAGTGTATTAGGCCCATTTCTATTTTCCATGTTTGTTTCACCTGTATATCATATTATAGCTAAATTTGGTATAAATCATCATCAATATGCTGATGATACCTAACTTTATACTTTCCTTAGCCTTGGCAAAGAAAGCATCAACAAAATCACTGAGTGTGCTAATGCAGTAATAACATGGTTTCTAGAAAATGGACTTCTGCTTAATTCAAATAAAACAGAAGCTATTTTATTTGGATCCAGAAAACAAACTAGCAAATATCAAAATGATTCAAGTATTGCATTTTCTGGAACCACAATAACTACAATAAATTCAGTAAAAATCCTTGGAGTCACCCTAGATTCAAAGCTCTCTATGGACAAGCACATAAACAATATTATTAAATCCTGCAATTACCACATTTGTGCACTTCACCACATTCGTCCATGTCTGACCAAAGAAGCTGCAAACATAATTGCTTGTGGCATCGTTAACTCTCAGCTTGACTATTGTAACAGCATTTTATCTGGCACTTATCAAAAAAATCTTAAAAAATTCCAACGAATTTAAAATAACTTATCTCGTATTGTTTTCCATCCTCCTTTCCATTTAAAATCAGAAATATTGCTGAAGTCTCTTCATTGGTTACCAATACATCAAAGAATAATCTATAAAATATCAGTTATCACATAAAATTTTATTATCAAAATCTCCTGCATATTTATTTGAACTCCTAGAAGTCCGAACTTCAAAACAAAATACAAGATCATTAGACAGTTGCCAACTTACACGTCGTCAACAAAAAACCTTCCGGGGCTCAAAATCTTTTTGTATGACTGCACCTCAAATTTGGAATGGTTTATCTTTGAACACGCGAAACTCAACTTCTATAGAAACATTCAAAAAAAGACTAAAATATGAACTTTTTATGAACTCTTTTTCAGACTCATAGTTTACTTGTTTAGTGCTTCTGAATTACTTCATCACTACTTTGATTGTTGTAAAAAATGGCACTTTAATCTCTAATTATTATTATGTTATGTTATTCAAGATATTAAAACAGTTTTTAATTACAAACAAATGGTAACATTGGTTCTTTAAAGTTCAGCTTCTTTAATGCTACAAAAATATAAAAAATATGCATCCAGAATAGCGTTTTTACATATTGACCATCATCTAAATTCATACCTCCACCTTTAGGTCTGCACTAAATTTCAATTGATTCTCAAATGTTGCTTTCGAATTTTTTAGGTTCTATTTTAACCTTTTTACTTGCTCCCATTTTATATTTCATGGACATTTGTTTTTTATGATTTTTATATTGTTCTAGTCACCATTTTAACTTTTGTTTTGCTAATGTATTTTTTTTTACACTAGCATTTTATTAGGTATACTGTGGAATAGCTATTTAATGGTAGTTTTGTTGCGCAAGGTGGGCAAAGATTTAAGATTTACACTAGATTTAAAAACTGTCTTGGATTCTGCTTTCCTAAAGATTTTTTGAAGTTTTGGTGATAATATCATGATCCACCGTAGTGATAGTTGGCATGAATGCTTCATTATTAGATCAGACTATTTCAATTTTAAGTGTTGTTTTTTTATAACAATATTTGAAAGGTTTTGTAATTTATTCTTTTCGTATCCATTTTCAGCAAATACATCTATTAGGAAATTGATTTCTTTGTTTACAAATTTTTCATAACAAATTAATAAAGCTTTATGGGTAAATTCCTTAAACATTTCTTCTACGATTTTTGTGTTGTGATTTGAATTGAGCTTAACCTGAATATTTGTTACTCTATCTTTTCGATGTATGTTAAAATCATAATTACCTTTCAGATTGTTAATTGTGATTTTAACATACATTGAAAAGAAGCAATAACAAAAATTAATTTTAAGCCCAATTGAAATCAAAATCTAAAAATCGTAGAAGGAATATTTAAGGGATATTTAATTTTTTATATATTTAATTATTTATTTAATTATGTCCAGGACTTTAGAGATTATTCAATAAGTTTTTGGATATCAAAAGATTACTATCAAAGAAAATTTTTTACTGTATGAATGAGAAATGAGTTTTTGTTATTTATGTTTTTATAAAAAAGTGTATTTAAATAAATATTTTATCAAACAAATGATAAAACATATTAAAAATTAAAAACATTGCATTTAATAATGTAATTTATATAAAGACTTAAATGTTTTTTTGAGTCAATAAAAAAAAAACTATAATTAAAATAATATAAACAGCTACAATAAATTAAAAAAACAACAGAAAACTGAAAACAAATACTTTATACTTTCCCAGTGATACTTTCTCATTTCAAGTTTTTTACAGACGTATAGCCCAAAGTGAATTCCAAGACCGTTACAAATAAGTATATCTAATAAGATGGAGTCCCACCAACATTCTTGAAAATTTTTCAGCAGATGAGCAAAAGCAATCTAAAAAAAAATTATGCTCTAGTGAATTTCATTTAAGCTCTTACGTCGAACAAAATCAAGCATTTTTTTTAGGTTTCTTTTCTGCCACAACTTGATTAGGAGGAATTTTTTCAGTTAAATACCAATTAATTCCATGCTTCAATTTTAAGTGAGTCTTAAAGCTCCTAGTAGATCCTCCAGAACACTTAATGATATAATTGTATGATTGATAACAAACAAGTAATTTGTCCATAAACATGTTTATTAAACATGTTTTCTGACTTTAATATGTCATCTTGAATTTAAATATTTTTATCTAAGTAACTAGCTGTTATCTTAGTAGCTAGCTGTTAATTAAGTAGCCAGCTGTTATCTAAGCAGCTAGCTGTTAATTAAGTAGCCAGCTGTTATCTAAGTAGCTAGCTGTTATCTAAGTATCTAAGTAAGGTTGATAATATTTTTCGAATCAAGATCCCTATTTAAAAAAATGAACTCTTTAAAATAATTTTTATTGTAAAATGTTAATTAAAAGATCTTTGAATATGGAAAAAACAATGATTTGTTTGGTGAAAAATGATGCAATTTTAAGTTATCTTAACATAGAAGAGATAAAAGCACTGGAATCTTTTTAAAAAAATTTCTCCTTTCAAATATCTTGCTCCCTTTAAAAGGATCTCTTTCCTTCAGCTTAAATGTTATAAATTGAGCTTAAATGTTATAGAGACATTTTAAATTGCCTTGCTCACCATCTATTTTTACTTCAATAACAAAGTCATTTACTAGTTTCCTGTGTTTCATATCAATAAATAATAGCTTTTCTACATTATGTAAATTAACTTAATGTAAATTTTTTGTCCAATACGTTAGTAAAATCTTTGTTTTGTTAATTCAAAAAAAATTAATTCTAACTATACAATTTGAAACATTTGAACACCTCATGTGAATATTCCACATTAATTTTTGTAAAAATAAAAAATTGGTTTTCTAGACTTTTTTCTGCTTGTCACCTAAGAAACTTAGGAACAAGTCTTGTACCTAAAACACCTAGGTACAAGACTGGTGAAACTGCAATCTTTAGCATCATTAACTTTTTTAACATCTCTAATTTTTAAATAATATTTTGAAACAAAATCTTTGTTTTTTATAATCATAAATAATTGTTTTTTATAATCATAAATTTATAATCATAAATAGAATACTTTTTACTATTATTTTGAAGCGTTTTCAATTTCTTTTAACCAAAGTATGGTTTCTTAATTTCAATATTTATTTCTATACTATCATAATAATTAGAGATGTCACAAATGTTCGGCAACTATTTAAAAACTAAGTAAATAAATATTGATAAATAGAAGTTTAAATTTAAAGATAATAAATTGTAAAAAGGTATAAGATTTATAAACAATATTCTTCAAAAAACGTAGTTAAAAAGAGCAGTTTTAAATTTTGAGGGCACTTTTTTATTGTATGGATTCATTGCAATAGTGAAAAAATCAATATTTAGGTACAGAAAACTTAAAGTTGCTTGCAGATTGCACAATATACTGAGTTGTTAGTTATGGCTTTTAACCCATATAATAAAAAGCAAAAAAACATGACATCTTTTTTCTTAACCTTTTTTTAAAGTACTCTCAAAATTAAATACTGCTCTCTTTAACTATTTTTTAGAAAAATATTGTTTATGTAATATTTATGAAATACACACACACACACACACACACACACACACACACACACACACACACACACACACACACACACACATTTTAATGTATTTTTTAAATGTAAGTAGAAAGGCAGTATTCTTCGAGTAATTACAATTTTCAATTTTTTTTTTAAACAACATATTTAAATTTCATTCACAATTTTTGTATATCGATATTGTTTAATTTAAAGATATTTAGACTTCAAATAATTTTTAATGTGGTTTCAAATAAAATTTAATTACAATGCAATACTTTAAAATACGCAACTGACATAATTTAACTTTTAACAATATAAATAAGTATATTAAGTAAAGTTATATTTGCTACAAAAAATCTCATAACAGAGACAATATGTATATATATATATATATATATATATATATATATATATATATATATATATATATATATATATATATATATATATATATATATATATATACATATATATATATATATATATACATATATATATATATATATATACATATATATATATATACATATATATATATATATATATATATATATATATATATATATATATATATATATATATATATATATATATATATATATATATATATATATATATATATATATATATATATATATATATATATATAAGGGTTGGCCAAAATCATAAAAATTAGAAAATTACACTTGGCTGCATAAAATCTTGTTCTTTAACATGATAAAAGTATTGGGTGGACACTGAAAAATCCGGTCATCTTTAAATTGAGATTTTTTCAAAACCACAAATGCTTTTTATTTAATTTTTTTTAATTAAACCTTACTTCCTTATCTTAAATGGTGTTGATAAATTTTTGTTTACAAATTAATGATTTGCAAAATGTTTTGGAAACAAGTTGAGGTGCGTAAAAAAGTTGTGAATTTTTTTTGCAAAAATTCATTGACTTCCTATCGCTTGATTGCTAAACGCACAAATGTTCCAAAATCTACAGTCATAGATATTAAAAACAAGTTCAAGACTACTCAAAGCTTCAAAAGAAAACTTGGAAGTGGAAGAAAAAAAACTTTCCATAAATCCAAAAAGGTAAAGTCGATTTTACGTTCAATAGCAAGAAATCCAAATCAGTCACAGCGAGATCTAGCAAGAAAATTTAAGACTTCTCATTCTTATATCAAAAAAGTACTTAAAAATGCTGAAATTAAAGCATTTCATAAAAAAAATACACCTAAGAGAAGCTTAAATTGTGAAATTAAAGGAATTCGACGCGCAAAGAAGTTGGTTAATATAATGGCGGATAAAAATATGTGCATAATTGAAGACGACGAAACGTATTGCAAGGAGGATTTTTCACAACTTCCTGGTCAACAGTTTTACTATGAAAACAAAGATAAACCTGTTGATGATCAATTTAAATATATTCGATGAGAAAAATTTGCATCCAAGTTCCTTGTGTGGCAAGCAATTTGTAGCTGTGGTATGCAGTCTTCTTGTTTTGTCACTAAAAAGACCTTGACCTTGCCAATCTCTACATCAAAGAATGCCTCCAAAAAAGACTTTTGCCTTTTATAAAAAAACACAAATACCGATGTTTTGGCCCGATCTTGCTGCCTCTCACTATTCTAAAAAAGTTTTACAGTGGTGCAAAGATAATAATGTGAAAATTGTTCCTAAAGATGCGAATCCTCCAAATCGTCCTGAAGAGCGCAACATTGAAGATTTTTGGGCAATAGTTAAAGGAGTTTTTCGTAAGACAGGTGGACTAACAAATAATAAAAAGGACTTCCAAAAAAAGTGGATTAATGCCACCAATATAGTGAAAAAAGAAAAAATCTGTAAAATGATGGCATTAACCCGCTATAAAGTTCGATTTCTTGCCAAGCAACCCATTAAGCCCCTTAAAATTAAGTTGAAACTCTAATTTATGTAAACACATTTAATAATAAAAAAATTGAAATAAAAAGCATTTATGGTTTTAGAGAAATCTCAATTTAAAGTTGACCGGATTTTTCCGTGTTCACCCAATATTATGATAAAAATAAAGCGTAATAGGATAATTTTGAGTACTGCCGAATTTGTTATAAAGATTTGCATTTTTATGCTAAAGTATCATGCCAAAAAAATCAAATGTAAGATAGTAAGAGGAAGATGATAAATATTTATCAAATATCAACTCAAAACATTTAAAATTCTTTTTTATCATCAAAAATATAATTTACTTTTAAAAATTTTGAAATCAGAAAAAAAAAGCTTTTTATTAAGATTATCAACAAATGGTTTCTATGGTTTCCATGGTTTTCAACCTAAAATTTTGTTTCGCACTGCTTCTTTTGTTTCGTACTGCTACTTGTATATGTAACATGTAACAAAATGTATCAAAATATTTTAATCGTTTTACCTTTGTAAGTATTTGAAGATAAGTTAAACATAACTTGATTCCTCGCTTAACAACATCATTGGTAACTTTGACTGTTTTAACAAAAGATTTCATCCTTCAATAGTTTCCATCTTTCTCCCATTCTGAAGGAGGGAGCTTGAGCCATTTACCATTATCATTAAACTTATGAATGAGCAACCAAGATCGTTTCCCTATATATGACAAAAGCTCAGAGTTTTTTTGAATAGATGGAAGAAAAGGTTTTCCAGAATTGATAGCAAGTGGATTTCCCATATTTATTAACTTTAATGCAATATTAGTTTTTTATTGGCAGAAAGTTTATTAGAAAAGAGATTGAAGACAGAAATCTCATCAGTTAAATACCAAGAGTGCCTAGTATGAACTTCTTGAGCTTTTTAAGCAGCCATGGTATAGCCTGATATTTTTACCCAGTTCTCCAATATCTTTATATAACTGAATATAATTGGTGCTTGGGTATAAGCAACCTTTTGTTGCTTATACCCAAGCTTTAATATACAAAACCAAGCTGAAAGTCAAAAAAAAATTTTACTAAATCAGAATCAAGTAAACCTTTTTTAAAGATAAACGTCTTTGGTGCGTAAAATAAATGGGACATCCATCTCACATGATGATTCACTTCACAAGTTTTCCATTTTTTTGGTTTTGTCCACCAAAGAGATAAAGAGCTAATTCTGCTGCTTTCATCATTTGATAATCATCATTTATAATGGCAATAATGGTAACATTATTGCCATTATAATTATTTACTAAGTATAACATTATAAGCCATTGACAATTACATTTTACTTGTTACTCTAAGAACACACAAGTTTCTTCTATTTTCATTTTAAGAAAAGCATTTTTAAGATCTAGAAGTAGCAAAAACTGGCATAAGTGCAAATTGGCATAAATGGAAGGTAGATTGTTGCCATAAGAGCTTTTTAAC